ACCGAGACGGAGCTCGCCGCCTTCACAGACATCAAGGAGGCACTGCAGACAGCATGCACCATCCGACATCAACTGCCGTCCTGTGAGACCTACCACCTGGTCACCGACTGCTCACAGGTGGCAGCCGGTGCAGCTCTGTACCAGATCGCGGACGGTCAGCCTGTCCCCGTCGGCTTCTTCTCCAAGAAGCTCAGCGACCAGCAGAGGCGATACTCAACATACGACCGCGAGCTGCTGGCCGCCTACCTGGCCGTGCTTCACTTCCGTCACCTGTTGGAAGGTCGTGTCGTCGCGCTCTTCACTGACCACCGGCCGCTCACCACCGCGTTCCTCAGCCCGCAGACGGCCAAGTCGGACCGTCAGCAGCGGCACTGGAGCGTGATCTCCGAGTACGTCTCCTCCGTCCAGTACGTGCGCGGGGCTGACAACGTGGTCGCTGACTGTTGGAGTCGCCCTGTGACCCCCGACGCCCTCAGTCCGCCCGACCAGAGCTCCGAGACCTCGCCACCGACAGGATCACTCCTGGCCACACTGGGCAGCGCGGCTACCGCGCCCGTCGGTGCGGGTGCGCGCCCTGAGTCGCCTCCGGTCACCGTACCGGACGGCGCGCGCGCGCGCCCTGTGCCGCCTCCGGTCGCCGCACCGGTCGCCGCGCGCGCGGTACGCCTCGAGCCGCCACCGGTCGCCGCGCCGGACAGTGCCCGCGCGCGCTCGGAGCGGCCACCTGTCGCCGCACCGGACCGCGCGCGCGCGCGCCCCGATCCGCCGTCTGCTGCGCTCAGCAGCACCGCCGCCGACACTGGCATGTCGGCATGACCCCGGTGACTGCTGCGCCGCACCCGGCCACCGAGTCGCTGGCGGCTGCCGCGCCACCGAGCACCACGCCTACAGCGTCAGTGAACGCCGCCACCGTGGACGCCGCCGACCTGCACGCCATCGCCGAGGCTCAGAGGGACGACCAGGAGACAGCTGCCTACTCGGACCGGCTGACACCCTTCCCGTTGTCAGCTGATCTCACCGTCCTCTGTGATACCACTCTGACACTTCCCAGGCCGTTTGTCCCAGTCCCCCTCCGCACTCATGTGTTCGAACAGGTGCACAGCCTCGCTCATCCTGGTGTCAAGGCCTCCCTTCAGCTGGTCAAGTCGCGCTACTTCTGGCCCGACATGGACCGCTGTATCCGCCGGTGGGTACGCGAGTGCTCCTCCTGCCAATCGAGTAAGGTCCACCGCCACACCAAAACCGTCCCGTCTCCGTTTTCTCTCCTCAGCGACAGGTTCGAGACCATCCACATAGACATTGTCGGTCCTCTGCCGCCATCAATCCCTCACGGTGAGTCTTTCACCTCCCCGTGTCGGTACCTCCTGACGTGTGTTGACCGTTCCACCCGCTGGCTGGAGGCGGCCCCTATCGCCGACATCTCAGCAGCCACCGTCGCAGCCGCCTTCATGGACGTCTGGGTGGCCCGGTTTGGTGTGCCGCTGCACGTCGTCACCGACAGAGGTACTCAGTTTGAGTCCGCCCTCTTCCGACAACTGGCCGAGATCCTCGGCTTTCACCGCCTGCGGACAACGGCGTACCACCCCAAGACCAACGGCATGGTGGAGCGTCAGCATCGGACGCTGAAGTCAGCCATCATCGCCAGCAAGAAACAGTGGTTACAAGCACTACCTGTGGTCCTCCTGGGCATCCGGGCGGCCATGAATGAGACTGGCTATGCGCCGTTCACTGCCGTCACCGGGGGCATGCTGTTGCAGCCCCGGATAAGTGTGGACCGGCAGCCTGCTCCGGACGGCGCCGCCGAGACCGTCGGGGAGCTGGCCCGCCGACTCGCCAGGACAGACTTCCTCTCGCCGTCTGAAGGCAGCCACCATGGACTGACCCAGCCGCACATGCCGACCGACCTCTCGACGTGTTCACACGTCTGGCTGCGGGTTGACCGCGTGCGCCGCCCTCTGGAGGCGCCTTATATCGGCCCTCTGCGCGTCCTCAGACGATGGGATCGCTGGTACCAGCTGGAGCTGCCGTCGGGGAAGAGTGACACCGTCTCGGTCGAGCGGCTCAAGCCAGCATACCTACCGCAGTCACCGCCGCCGGGTGGGCTGGGCGGTGCCGATGCCGCACCGCCCCTGCCCCCCGTGCAGTCCGGTACAACCACATCGCCGTCGGTGGAGCCGGGCCGCGCCGATGCCGCGCTGTCCCCGCTTCCCGGCCTGGCCAGCGCTGCACCGCCTGTGCACGCTTCATCATCGCCGCCAGCGGAGCCGGACCGTGCTGACGTAGCGCCGCCACCATCTGCTCCGCCACGTCGTGGTCGCCGTCTTGGGGGCCAGAGCTCGGCGCCCGCGTCGCCGCCGTCGCCTGTGCCTGTTCGTCCACAGCGAGACGCCGTGTACACTCGTGCTGGTCGCCGCGTTCGGTTTCGTGTTCCACCCTCGTGAGTTTTTTTATCTTTTCCCGCTCCGCTCTTAGGGGGGGGGGGGGAAGTACTGTGGTGCCGCGCAGCCCACCGGCACATTATTTAGTTGCGGCGTCTCCGCCCAAGTGCGCTATTGTTTTGTCGCGTGTGCGCAAATACTGTTTCCTTTTCAAGTACCTTCTGATCTCGTTTTTAGTATTATATTTAAATCGTATTATCTTCGCTATTGTCTTAAGATTATATAATGTTACTTGCGTTCTAAAATAAGTTTATTGTGCTTTAATTGGCGTAATTATTTCGTTGTTTTCTGTAAGCCCGTTTCTATCTTTTATCTAAAATAGTTTGTGTTTCTGGCACTGTCGCTTCCGCTCCATTGTTATTCCGGCTCTCGTTACACAGTTGTTTCACATCTCGATATATCTACGCTAAATATAGCTTTTCTACAGTGCACAGTGGCGTCTGACAGGCTGAGTATTCGCGCGAGCTTTCCTCACGTTTTTCCTTAATTTTTACCGCTGATCTCTCGTTATCTCGCTTACCTAAACATTGTCTTTCGTCCCACGTGTCATTTTGGCAGAACAATCATTTTCCTTCCAATCACAGAGCACGTAGCCTTTACCTGACCACTTCAGCATGGTACGACTAAAAATATACAGGGCTATCAAAATACTGTCTCAGATTTCTTTTTTTTTAAGTTGGAAAATTAAACGTAAAAAATATTATTATTGCTATTTTGAAAATGTCCCCGATAACTTTTTGACCTTTCGTAAAAACCCAAATATATGTGCTAGAACACATACCGATAATCCAGGGGTCGGCAACCTGTTCTGGGTGCGGGCCGGATATGAGATTTGCAAGTGATGGCTGCGCAATCACTTGCCAGCCGGCGGGCCGGAATAGGGGAAGATGGGAGAACACCGCCCTTTGGGGAACACCGCCCATCCCGATATCAGAAATATAAAAAGGTCTAGGGCGACAACTGACTGTCTTTTGGCAGCGTGACGACAACAGAAGTGCAGGTATGGGCAGTGCACCGCAATGGTTTAGGTGATTTGCGAGAAATTCCTAATTTTAAGTTTCGTGAATACGTTTTATACTTTTTCTACCATAATTAGCAGAAGAAAACTTATCTTATTTGACAGACATTGGTCCTGAAGTAGTATTTTTGGCCATAATTAGGAGTTAGGACCCATCCAAGCATTACGTGCTCCTGCTCGAGCGAAATTTTTGTAGTGCTGCCATATTGAAGGATTTTTTTTTTTAAATAAAAAATGCAGACACTTGGGTAACACCGCCCACTTGGGAAACTTGGTATTTAACACGCGCACCGACGGGGGTCTGCGCCAACTTAGTACCGACGGGGGGGGCGGGGGGGGGGGGGGCGGATGACCGCTCCCCCGAGATCTCGAGAACGAAGCAAGATAGCGACAAGCGGTAAACGGCATCGGATACGCACGGACAAAGTCTACAATTTTTACAGAGGTCATTTTCAGGTCAGGTCAAAGATGACGTCACAAGGGTCAAAAAAGTCAAAATGGCGGCGCTATATATGGAGAGAGTTTTTCTCGAATAACTTTCGAATTAGTCAAGATAGGAACAAACTAAGGGCATCATCGTGATCCTCCTCTCGTCAATCCGCATCGAATGATATATATGTTGACCTCGAAAGGTCAAGGTCAAAGGTTGACCTCAAGTCACGTGACCTCGAGGTCATCATGTATATCATTCGATGCGTCTTGACGAGCTGAACACAATCAGACCATCCGCTCGGCTGTATCTTGTTCCTGTACGGAGTTATTGGCCAAAAACCTTTGGTGACCTTTGATGACGTCACATGACCTTACAGCTGCCCAACCGCAAAACAGACCTCAAGGTAGTGAAAGTTGATCATATATGAAGTCATGTATGGTATATGGGGCCATTCCCATCCGTTTTAGTAGAAAAAAACAGGGAGTTGATTTTTCCCCCCATTGACTTATAACGGTCGCGAAATTGATCGCGAAATTGACCTGACTTTAGGTCACCGATATCAAAATTCCGAGATAGACAAATTGTAGCTACTAATGACCTAATAACATCCTGCGACTTTCAAAGGCCTCCGACATCTACTGTAGCTCTGGCACGATGACAAAGTTGCAAAAAAGTGACTTGAGGTTGGGTCATTCAAAGTGACCTGGTGACCTGACCTTAAAATTTAGGAGGTTCAAACTTGCACACCATGTGTAAAATTGATGAGAGAATAGTCGTACCTAATTTCGCGCTCGAAACAGTCTCGAAATCGCCTTTCTGATCCACCTATGATATCATCTCGGTCTGGGATCTTGCCCCCCCCCCCCACGTTAAAATCGAATCCGCCGCCACTGTGCCGCAGACCACAAGAAGAAAAGCTGGCTGCAAAAACTAGGCACTTCAAAGTTTCGACAGGTCTTGAAACGGCCATTTACATAAATTTGGTTGAGCTTTTTCACGCATTCAAAAATAATGGTGAAAATTTAAGTTCTCGTGGGCTTTGATGCCAACCGAAGCCAAATTTGGCGTGACATGGAGAAATGGCTCACAACCATACCAAATTAGCACTTACCTCAGAAAGGCCGCGTCCAGATCCCAATCAGACAGCAGCGCCAGAAACGTCTCCTCGCCAAAGTCATCAATGGCCATGTAAGAGATGACAAACTCCCTGAAACGAACGTTGTTGCGAGAATGAGCAATGAGCATCTAATATATATATGCATTGGATGTCGTAACAAGCAGAATTGCAGAGCTCTCCCTGCACAAGATTGCTGTGGCCCTGCATTAACGCCACGTTATGCACCAGCCGTGGTCATATCGCCGGGTGCGGCGCTACCGCCCCTTTCGGTCACTTCAGAGAAATAAAGCCAGCGAGAGCATGTAATTCGATGAAAAGTAGCGCAGTATGAAGAAATAGGAAAGTGTCATGAAAATGTCGCTATACTACGCTATAGTTCGCTAACTGAGCAACCCATCACCCATGGCGGAGGAAAATTGGACCTGGGATTTAGCTATGGAAGAAAAATATCAATCAGCTGAAGCACGGATTTCGATGGAAAGTAGCGCATTATGAAAACATCAGGCAAGTTACATGAAAATGTCGCTATACCCAGGTGTTGTCCATCTGAACTTGACAGTCACGTGACCCATTTGACCTTCGGATCCAATTCTGATAGCCAATTCTGGCACTCTTGTTACCTTAGCGAAAAATGTAACCCCGCGTATTGGCCGGACGGCGTAGAATCTTCGTCGTCCGATAGACAGCCAACACGAGGTAAACAATCTGTGCGTGGATATTGTGAGTGGTGAATATGTAAGGAACACGGTCATAGATACTAGTAAGTCGCGTCATACTTTACATTATCAATACGTGTATCACCAACTCCGATATCCCCGATTCCTGGAAACATTCCAGAGTCCACCCCATCTTCAAATCTGGCAGTCCCTCGGATCCCACCAACTTTCAACCAATCTTATTAGTCCCCGTGATTATGAAGGTTGTGGAATGCCTTGTACATCAACAGCTTTACCACTATCTCTCAAATAACTATCTCCTTGCCTCCTCGCAGCACGGTTTTCGCCCCCGACACTCCAGAGACCGCTCTGCTGTCCGTCACAGACCAAATCCTCGCGGAGTCTGATAGGGGGGGGGGGGGCATTCCACGATAGATCGTACCAGGCCCGTCACCCTCATCTCTCAGATTTTAATGAAAATCGGTCCTAGGGGTAATGATAGGCCCCAAAGACGCCTGGCAAAATATCAGACTTCTCAGATCAAAACTTTTTGAGTTATATTGCATTACATTTTTTTAACTTCGGTTTGTAACGGTGAGTTTGATGGCCTATAACTCAAGAACGGGTTATGCAACCAACAAACGGGAAACAACACTAAGCTTGCGATGAACCAAAAATTGATATTACTTTTTAAAAATTCTAAAGAAAAATTTTGATTGTTGAACTAAAACCTTAATCTTTTTTCATTTGCCTGTAATGACTTTTGGTATCAATTTTTTTCACATTTTTATTTTTTCAAAATAAACTTCATGTCATTGCAAATCGACATGCAAAAAATTAGAAAGGTGTTCTTTCTATAAGTTCCTCATTTTCCCGCAAACAAAATGGGTTTCGGAGGGGTTGATACGACCCAAGCACGCCGTTTTGCTTCTAATAGAGCTAGAGCCTCGCGGAAAAAACGAACGTGTGTGCCGTTACAAGTCGCAGCGATTGGTACCCAATTTTAAGGTCTCAGGTTAACCGGTAGCGTCTGAGGTCAGGTCAAGTGACTGAAGTTACGGGTTCGGTTTTTAGTAAATAACTTCGCAAAAAATGGCCGCAGAGCCGCGATTTTGGCATCATTGTGTTCGCCTAGCTCAGGTGCGTCGAATGGTATACTTATTGTTAGGGTGAGGTCAACTTAAGTAGTTGACCTCGGGTCAAGGTCAGGTCAGAGCCCCTCAGGTCACGAAGCTGGGCAAAGGGTATCATATGGCATATCATTCGATTCGGAAGGTCTTCCCGAGTCCATTGGTGGCTTTCCCGACTCTCTAGCTTAATTTGATCGGGAGTTATTGACGAAAAACTCGTACGACCCTAGTGACGTCATAAATGACGTCACGCAAGGTTAACAATGCAAAAGTGAAGCATTGGACTTTGCAAGGAGTGCATGAAATCACGATACCATGTACGTGAGATAGTTTTAGATCATTATCGGCGCCAAAATAACAGATTTTATACTTGATTTGACATCTTACCAGTGGTAAGATGTCAAATCAAGTCGCTAAGAGAAGATGAGGAAAAGTGGACGAATGCCACATTTTTGTGCATGAAGTCTCGAGTTAAAAAAGCTAAAAGTTATTATGCGTGTAAGCTAAAAAGCAATAGGACCTAATATCAGTTAATAAAAATATTTGGCCCGATATTAGCCTCTGTTTTGTCTGACCATGATTACGTGTAAGACACCGGTCCAACCGGGTTCAACCCGGCCCAACCTGGTTCGGCTCCTCCTTTTTTAATATAAATTTGGCCCGGACATTTTGAATGAAAGGAATCACAATGACAGAGTCCCCACTAAGCTGAGCTTGTTGCGTTGAACCTGCCCTCTACCCTCCGGGTAAGCAATTCTTGGTCTATGGCAGAATTTAGAGTCCAAATTACCTACTTGCATGTGCTTTGGTTTATCGTCAGCCCCGTTCACTTGCTGCAAGCCACTTAACATCGTTTTAGGAGACATGCCGGTCCAGTCGTGTGTCCATTACTTTGATGATATTATTTTACACGGTAAGTCTTTCGATGAGGTCTTGGCTGCTTTGGATGAGGCGCTGCTCAGGGATGCGAGCGGCGGGACTCACCGTCAACCTGAGCAGGTGCCAGTTTTTTAGGGTGCCAGTTTTATAGTGTTTCCTCTCGCTCCAGCCGCACCGCCAGGTCCCACACGCCGCGCCACCACTCGTCACTAAACTGTATTGTCCCTCAGCATTGCCAGTATGGCGGCCAATAGAGGAGCACGTAATAGAGAAACAAGTACCCACTGGCGATAGTACTCGGTACAAACGAAACGCTTATTCTAACCTGGAAACACTACATCCCCCGCACTTAAACTTAAACTCCACGAGTTCAGCTGTCAAACTCCACGAGTTCAGCTGGAGAACAATCACACACGAGTTCAGCTGGAGAACAACCAAACACGAGTTCAGCTGAAGAAGATATTCACAGGTCCAAGCGAGTCGGCTTAAACCTACGACGGCCACGCGACGACGGGGTAAGTTCGCGGTCACTGCGGTTAGAGGCAGGCAGTCCACGATCACTGACCCGAGAGTCCACTCGGTTAACCGGATCGATAGGTGGCGCTAGTACAGGTGGCGCCGGCGGACACGGGGACGCCACGATCGCGGTCGCGCTCGGTAGCTCGCTCGGTAGCTCGCTCGGTAGCGGGCCCGGGGCCGCACCGACCGGCGGCGCCGGCGCGCAGGCGGTCGGTTCGCCGGCCAGCGGATCCCGAGGTGCGGCCGCACCGGCCGGCGGTGAAGACACAGGAGCTGCTGGAGACGATACGGACGAGGCCGGGGCCGCCGCGACCACAGGCGGCGGAGACGGCGGCGGCGGCGGCGCAGGAACAGCTTCAGTGCTGACCGGCAGAGTCGGCGTCGACGGGGCGGCGCCGATCTCCCTCCTGGCCAGGTGAGCCACGTTCCAACGCGAACCGTCGGAGAGACCGAACGTAGCGGGTCCGTGACGGCTGACGACGCGGAGCGGCTTGCTGAACTTGGCGCCCTTCTTCTGGACGTGACCGGGCTGGCGGACGCAGACCGTGTCGCCCACAGCGATCTCGGTCGGCCGCGCCCGGTGCCGGCTGTCGTAGTGGCGACGGTTGCGGCGCTGCTGCTTGACGACCCGTCGTGCCACATCAGAGGTGACGCAGTAGTCGTCGAAAACCGGCAGGTCCAGCCTCATCTTCCTGCCGTGTAGCAGCTCAGACGGCGATACACCGGTGGTGCAGTGCGGCGTGGCACGGTAGCGCGCCAGTCGGCCCTGCAGGTAGGCCTGGAACGGAACTTGGCTCTGCTGCGCGGCCGCCTGGACCCAGGACTTGAACGATCGGTTGAATCGCTCCACGGCGGCGTTGCCCCTCGGCCAGTACACAGACGACTTCAGGTGCCTGATCTTCCTCTGCTGTAGATAAGTCTCGAAGTCGCGGCTGATGAACTGGGGCCCGTTGTCCGTTGCGATCTCCTCAGGATATCTTTCGCGGGCCCAGATCACAGACAGAATCCTGATGATGTCGCTAGTCTCGACTTTCGCACAGAGTCCCACCTCCACCCACTTGCTGTAGTAGTCCGTGAGGGTGACTGCATAGCGTGCAGACTGGGGAACTCCAGCGATAGGTCCCACGATATCTACACGCAGCTTCGACCACGGCCTTGTGGGAAGCGGGGCCCGTATTCACGTCGCAATTTTTCGTAAGATTTATCTTACGATCGCTTTTAGTCGTACGATAATTTGGTATTCACGTTGACTTCGCAGACAGTTAAGATTTATCTTACGATCAAAATTTTGGTCGTAGACATTTGTCGTACGATCGATCGTAAGTGCGATTCACGTCGGGACATCTTAAGTCGAATCTTAAGATGATCGTAAGACCTTAATGATGAAGGTATTGGGAAGATACGACTACTCACTGAGCTATCGTAAGACGTCACCTAAGCTTATGAATTGTATATGTAGGTATTGAAATTGTTATTTATGATTTTTTTCTTGCGAGCGAGCGCGAAAAAGAGTTTTCAATGTAACGGGAAAATATCAGTATGAGCGGTACAGCTCGGACCGGCCCGCCCTATAACGCTTTTGAGAAGCTTTTATCTCGGCCACCGCTGGGTCGATTGAACCGCGGTCCTTTTTGTTGGGTATCTTATCCCTCTTACCCCGTAATTGACTACTCTTGATGCACCTGGGTGATCACCGTGTCATGTGGCTCTTGCGAAGCCAAGGATGTCAACTCAGAAACCAAAGTCGTTCTGCTGAATTTACGTTTTTGAGAGGATTATGTCTGAGTAAGCACAGGATCGATTTACTAGGAAATATGTTTGTAGGGTATATTCATCCATTCTGCCGAGGACACGACTTTTCTCGATGCAAGTGGGCATGGGTGTAGTTTTCCAAAAATCATTGGGG